CCCCAAAACCCCAAAACCCCAAAACCCCAAAACCCCAAAACCCCAAAACCCCTATAAATACAGAGAAATGAAAGATAATAATACTTAAAACATCATCAAAATGTGCTGAATCATGTGCTATTTCCCACCGAAATGAGTCAAGGTGGCCTTGTTCTTCGTTTCCTTCTTCCTAATCGTAAGTTAATCATGCTCATCAGCTTATAGGCTTGTGGAGCGGTTTCAATATGGTTCGCAGTTGCAGCTAAAAATATGGCAATTTATGGAATCATTGGAGAAATTTTTAATGTTGACATCCAGCAAATTCTGTACCTTGTCTTCCTTATTTTAGGAATCTTCCTGTTCTTTGTATTTATGTGTGGAGGCTGCATTGCATATAAGAGATTTTGTCTTGTACACTGCTGCTTTGCATATATGGTCACTCTTTCGTTTTTCCTCTTTCTGGGTGTAGGAATCGCCTTGATAGTAGTTACAGGAATGATAGCCGAAGAAATTGATAAAGTTTGTGTTGATTCAGGTTCTAGTAGCATCTCAGAATCTTTCAAAGATCTGTATGATAAAGCTGATAATATTTATTGTGTGAATTCAGCCGCTGGCTGTGAATGCTATGTCAACTCTACTCGCTTGTCAGGGTCTGGATACACCATGGTCAATTCGTCCTCAACTGTAATTAGAGTACAGCAATGTAGTGACCATCTGGAAGAAGCTTACGAGGGTTATAATGTTGATTTTGAAGACTCGAGTGAGATCGAGGAGTACTTAGGCTACTTTGGAGAAATCGAAAAGGACTACAAATGCTCAGGAATGTGTTCTCTAAACGACAAATACTATTTCTCAGACATTAACATTGGAGCTCCAGAGAAGAGATGCATCGATGCGATCAGAAACGATATCATCCTTGGAGATGTCAGAAATTATGGAATCGGTTACACAGTGTCAGGAGCTGTCCTCTTCGTCATCTGGTTCGTCCAATATGGACTCTGCTGTAGGAGGCAGAGAAATCCCAGACAAGGCCAGACTAAGAATTTCTAATCAAAGCTTGAAAAATTTTGTTTAAAGTTTCCGTTACAGAATTTGTATGAGAAAAAATTTCCAAAAACCCTGGACTTTAGTCCTTGTTGAGGGGAGTTAGAAAGCTCTTGTTTGCTCAGTTCTCAATTTTAGCATTTTTCTGCTTTCAAAGCATACAATAACTTCATTAGTAATTTTGAAAAAGGAGATTAGGCCATTTGGATATTTCATAGTTATTTACCACCAGGGTTTGTCAGCTAGAAGCTCTGAGAAGAAGCTTGGTCAACCGGGTTCTTTAAATTTGAAAATGATAACTTCCAACTGTATTGTTAAAAACTTAGATTGAGATGATTTGGGGTTACAAAGTGTAAGCCATACTAGCTGAGATAGCCTGAGGCATATAGTGAATCTGCCTGATTAGACTCATTATTTATGCTTGAAACTTCTCTCAAGTTTGTGGACTTCTTGCTCCTTAACGAGGCAACATTATGTTTAAATTATAAATGTGATTCGGAATTTTAAGGTGGATGGTAAACAAATCCTTAAAACGGAAATTTAGCCCTAGCTTCTGTATTTACTTGCTTCATGCTTTCCTTCCAAATTATTTAAGCTGCTTACTTCATGTATTGGAGGATGCCAAAGATGGCATCTGGAGGGAATCTTTATCAAGACTGATAGGTTAAGATTCCAAACTATTTGGAACTTATTTGTCTATTAGCATCGAGGAATTTGAGATGTAGCAAATTCTTAACTATCAACACAAAAATGCCTAAGCATGTGCCTCATATTCCTTCTTATAGCCGTTAGCACTATTTTATTATCAGTTCATCGATTTATAATATTCTCCTTAGTGGTTTCAGTAATCAGGTAACTTTCAGGGGTTTTGGGGTTTTGGGGTTTTGGGGTTTTGGGG